AATGAGGAGGGGGTCAGCGTGGGGTTGGCGTGTAAGATAGGACGCAACAGATACACCCGCAACAACGTCGCCCCCCCCCAATACTCTTCGATCTCCCCTTCTCTCGCACACGCACACCCTGCGGCACGCACCTTTCCCAAGACTGGCAAGAACTTGGCACCGTGCCCGCTGCCTCCTGTACAAACGAATACGCCGCTCCATTCCTCTTTGGGCGGTCTATCCACCACAAACTCATTGTCCAACGAGTCGGTGTACCAACAGAGCTTCGTCCAAGCAAACGGACGCTGAGCTAGTTCGGGCAAAAAGAGCTGCACAAAGGTTCGAATGGATGCGGTGGATTGGCCAGGTAGAATGTGCGAGGAGGCCGACGGCAAGGGGATGGACCATTGACCCTTTTGCGAATAGGCAGAGTCGGGTGCCGCTCGAAAATTCGTGTACTGCGTGCCGTGCCGCATTGGGATTGCCGGCAGCGAGAGAGGGCCAAGGTGAGCATGATTCGTGGACAAGAGGGGGGGGAAAGCATGCCCCGTATGAGCCTGCGCGACCACACACACACACACACCTTGACTCCTCTATACCCAATCTTGATCACTCCCTCTTTGGTCCTGGGCAAGACGTACACGCTTCCCGTATCCCTTCCCTCGCCATCCCTGACCGCGCTCTTCCACGTGATGACTGGAAATCTTTGCGCAGAGTACTTTTCCCACAAATGCGCATCGCGCACCGCATCGAGTTGGAATGCGGCCACGCTGCCTGCGGAAGATTCGACGTGGTAAGAGAGGGCGGGAAAGAGTTGCGTGCTGCTCGATCCGCACGCTACGATCACTTGGTCGCACGCAATCTCTTGCCCGCTCGTTAGCAGCACACCTCGCACGACTCGAGGACTTTTTGGGTCAGCCTGTTGCTGTAGCAGCAAACTCTGGACCTGCACGCCGAAGCGGAAATGCACGCCGAGAGCTTGGGCTCGTCGTTGAAAGTATCGACAAGCTTCGCTGCTGCTGATGAAACCCGCAGTGGAGTCGAGCGTAGCAGCAAAACAATGTCCATTGTACCCTTGCGCCTCTTTATCTTCGCTACGTCCGTCTTGCTGCCTCAAGCGGAACTCGAGCAACTTGTGCGCCCATCCTTGCGCCTCGGCTCGATCAGCATCTTGCGCTTCACCCTCTACGAATTGAGTGGAGCGTATACCGTCGCGCGTCATGTTCCTCAACGTCTCTTGCTCCAGCGCATCGAGCGTGTTGCTAGGCTGCACGCGCAGCATGCCACAAGCACTAAACAGGGGCGTATCAGCCTGCTCATTGAGCTCCAACCAGCGCTGCCTCGCTTCGAATGCCAATCTCTGGTAGTGCAGCTTTTTGCCGTAGGATGCTCGGAACTGCGGCGACAAGCATGGGGGACGCGCTGGTCAGCTGTCTCTCTCGCGCGCGCGCGCGTCTCCAATAGATACAAGCGAGCAAAACGACGCACAATCTTGTTGTGATCCACGCTCGCCGCATTCTCGGTGGATGCGTCTAGCGGATCGTAGGCCGTCTGATCGTACCGATTACGCTCCAGCACGGTTACTCTGTACCCTCGCTCGTGTAGCTCCGTGGCCAGAGATAGACCAAAGATGCCCGCTTGGGGATGAGCAGGCAGCGTGAGCGGATGTCAGCTACTTTGCATTTCACGACTGTGAGGATTGCATCAGTCTATGAAAGTCATATTAACCCAGACTCACCGCCCACTACGATGACCTCCTTCGCTTCGACTGATACTGGCATAGGCGGCGCGGTCGAAGTTTCCATCTTGCTGATCGCTTGCTGATCGAGATCCGACGCAGACTTGGTATGAAAGCAAGGCGAGGAGGATGAATGTCGGATGGGATGCTGCTCGATCGCCTGCGCACTCTGCAGCAATTCAACATACTTTTCAGACGCTTCCTCGAACTTGTTGAGAGTCGTAGATTCGAATCAGAGTGCAGAAGCTTTCTCGCGCAGAGAGACGCCACGCTGAGCTCAAGCAAACTCCGATCTGTCCGTGGCGACGTCGGATAATCTGTTGGGCTTCGTTCGCTTGCTTCGCCCGCAGCGTGAGTCAGAGTTGCGGCTCTTACTTGGTACACGGCTTTTGGAGTCTGGGCGCTTGAACGGCGAGGTGCATTAGAGAAGAACAACCGAATGGCGCGTGTGATGGGGTCAGAGGAACGTCCTTGTCAAGCGCCCTTTATACATGTAGCCTGAGCCTGTGCACTTTCGAGTGCTGACGATGCACGAACGCAGGCTGGTAGTCTGAGTGTGGTGTGCAGCGCAGCGCAGCACTGTGCAGTCAGTGAGTCCGAGTCACCAGCGCAATCACAGCGAGCTAATTCAAGATTCACGATTAGCGGCGTCAAATCAAAAGAATCAGAATCAAGAATCAAGAAGGGGCCTGCATCGCACATAACTGAGGCCGTTCTCGCGGCGTCTAGTCCAGAGCAAAAGTCACGTGACTGTGGAAAACGTGATCCGAGAACATACCTAACTTTTGCTTTGCATCAGTCGTGAGTCTTGAATTTACCTACATCAAAGGTCGACCAACAGTATCATTGAGTTGAGGGTCAGAACTCATTCATGATGGACTACAACACTCATGACGCCCATCATTGCAGTGCGGCTCACCTTTGCAGCGCAATTTGGAATTTCTGCATCTCGAGAAGAATGTGGATGAGGCGAGCCTCTAGGATGGAGTTGGCTTTCTAGCAGAAGGTCAATTTGCATGCATCGTCTCGACGGCAACATGGTCAAATGCCGTGCTGAACTGGGTCATAAAGCACAATCAGACAGGACATGATGGAAGTGCGCATTCGGACCGGCCGGGCACTGAGGTACAAATCGAAGACGGCATGGTAGCAAAACCTGTCTATTCGAGAGTCTTGAGTAGTTCCTCCTGATTGTCGAAGAAAACGTTCAGTTGGCGAATCGTGAGCGTGATCATGTTCTAGCCAGAATAGAGCATAATGTGACACCTTGCGATCGCTAATAATCATCGAGGAGCGCTCTCAGCCCAGCGTCCGTTGTCGTGACAGTCGCGCCGTCCCTGAGTGTCACGTGAAAGATCTCGCCAAAGACTGCAGGGCCCTCTTGAAGTTGATGTTCAGGTGCAAGCTCATAGAAAGTCGCTTGATCCGCAAGTTCGCCAAGATGTACGGTGACCATTTCTACGCAAGCGCCGATGCGACCTTGACTGAGGCGTTCATGACGGATGATTAGTTGTCGCTCCCTAACACTGTCAAAGTTCTCGCGGAGAATGCCACCGTGCAACGTTCCCGCGCCTGGAGTCTCGGGCAGAAGCCCGATGTAGAGTGGAGGGTCCTGTGCAGGTTTTGCTGCCGTGGGACTGGGCGGGCCCTGCGCAATGATCATCACAAACATCTCCACCTCTCCCTCCACGTCATTGACGAGGAACTGAGGCAGATCGGACCTTCTGTCAGCATTTGCCGTATTTGGTGCTCCATGTAAAATCGCTGGCACTGGTAAAATCGCTTCCACTCGTTCTTTGAGGTCATTGTGGCTTTGTGACTCGAGCCGCAAGAGTCTGGGACTATTGTGCTGCATGATTGCGGCATAGATGAAAAGAAATTGAGGTCGCTCAGGCTCAGGCTGGCGCGATGCGCTGCCACTTACGACGAGCAAAGAGGGGACAGTGAGCCCCCCATTCGAGCCGACCTTTATCCTAGCGCAGGGGTGGTGAGAAGGCGGAACCATTGATGCTGTTCGCAGCAATAAAGAGTCCCAGTTGATGCGGTCGATGACGCCTGCTTTCAGTTGCTCGTTCAGCAAGCGACAAGTGGTTCCACCCATCATCAAGGCGACCGTGCCCGTGTTTTCGGGGTCAACAAGGGGGCAGGATTTGCCCAGCATGGACTGCAGACCAGCCACAACCTTGCCGAGGGCCCGTTTGCGGCCAGAATGCTGCTGTCGGCAGCCCGATCGCTGAATAGTCCAGCTCCGATGTGGGAGTGCTGCAACAGCAGCAATCTTGACTACCAGGACAATTATTTGTACCAACGTCCAGATAACGACGAGCCGTGTGCCTGCAATGTTGTCGCTCGTAGAAATCCAAGCAAGGAACACCAAGTAGCTGCACAAGTGCAAGATACCGGCGGCCGCCAGAATTCCATTTGATAGATATCTGAAGAATGTACTCCGCTTGAGTCGCTTATGACCACGCTGATAATGCTCGTAATTGGTGTAGCCTTGAATTGATCTATACGCTGTCTCACAATATGCTGCGATATCTCTATTGTCGGAAAGGTTATCGCGAGCCATCTGACTAAATACCCGAACGTGGTCCGGCTTGCATCGCAATTGTAAGGGAAAGTCGTGCCGTGGATCAGTCGGGGGATCAGTCGGGGGATGACTCGGGAACCAACAGTATGCGGGACGAAGGTTGGCAGGTTTGAAAGCCCACTTGCGACCAGTGTATACGACGGAGTCGAGGTAATCACTGTGAGTGTGCCTATCCTGCTGTCCGGTCCCCAAAGATGGTGACAGAATGACGGTATTGAGCCAAAAGCGAAAGCAGATGGCAACGGGGACAGAGGCAGAGAATCCACAGAAGGCGAACACGTAGTATTCTCTCCCTAGCATTTCTATGCGAAGAATGCGAGTGAGACCATAATTTGCGAGGAAGCTGATCACCCCTGCCGACAGCCCTCTGAGCACCAGCTGAATGGTGAGGGTGCTGTTGAAGTCTCTTAGAAGGTGACAAGTTACGATACCGCCATTGAAGCCCGCGAGCCAGAAGCGGTTGCAGTGCAGCTTGATTGACAATGGGTCGTCTGTCGTCACTCCGCATGGGGTGTAGGAGGCGCAGACGCACCCACGGAACCCGTCCTGGAGACCCCTTCGTCCTAGCTTTGGTATGCGGACGCGAAAGATTGCTTGGTTGAGCATACATGGCTTCTCCCAATCTACGATATGTAACGGAGTTTCTCGATGAGTGAGTGCCTCCCTGGCGCCTCGCGATGCGAGTCCTTCCACCTTGAAACCAAACCTTCGCAACTTGTCTTTGCTGAGCAGCATCTTGAGCGCTGCGCTGGTGGCACCCAGGGTGCCTGGTAGTCCCGTCAGGGCAAATACATTGACGAAGTTGCCGACGCATAGGTTGCCGAGCATCGATTCTGTAGTTTGATTGCCTATGAGCGCAGATACGAGAGTAACTATCAATAGCAAGGACTGAGCACTGGGATGAAGTCTTGGATGCGGCGGGGGGCTCCAGCCATCCATGGGTAGGGTGTAATTATTCATCTTTCGTCAGTGAACCGACGGCGGGAAGGTATTGACGAAAGCCGCGGAGAGTCAAGGCCCGAATCAGCTTGCTGTAGCTCCTCTCGAATCTTACAGAGTCTGCTGTGACAGCACGACGGTCCAAGGAATGCCGTGTTGAGAGCCTGTGAATGCACATTTTGCCGCTATGAATCAGTCGCCCCCCTCTACATTTATACCAGCCCACTCCATAGACCCCTCTTAGTGCTGTGTTGC